TCCTTCAGTCTTTGAGACTGATCGCATCCAGTGACCTCTGGCAAAGGAGTGGGAACAGCACACACTTTTATCCTGGCACTGGGAAGCAGCAGTGACAAATTGGTTAACTATTCTGCCTCTTACCAGGGGCTGAGAGTAGGGAGAAGAGGTTTTATTACCCCAAAGTTACTTATGCATCTGAAAAGCGCTTTGTAATCTCTTCTCTCTGATGTTATTTAAAATATATATTTGGGTTTATTACTGTCTAGGAATACCGAAAGTTTTGCCCAAATGGATGGAACGTTCTGGTGGGAAATAAACTTGCTATCATGACGTGCTGGGATTTATATTTTTTTTTTTAACAGCTAAATATACATGTTCTGTTGTGTATGGATGTACCCAGCTATGCTAGAAACGGGAACAGCAGACACATGCACACCACACTTCCCAGCACGAAAATATCGAGCCATCCACCAGTGAAAAGAGACTGGGAGGTGTGGTGTTCACAGCCACCAGCACTTCTCACAGCCTTTGGGAACGCTTTGGAAAGAAAGTACTTTTTCCACTTCACTCCAAGACTGGTGTCTTGCAAGAGTGGAAGTAGCCCAGTAGGTGGAGGACTCTGGGTGATACTGGTAAGCACAAATTGCAAATAGTGATAATTTTGGCTTCTGGACTGATTGTTTTGTTAGCACCCCTCCTGTCCCACTATGGCACATCCACCTTTGTGGGGATGCCTGGCAGAATGGCGTAGGAACAACACCAGGAGAGTTTAATGTGTGCAGAACCCAACACTGACTTCCTTGGCAAAGCCTTTGAGGACTCCTGAGGAAAAGTACTCTTAGCAGCCAGGTGTTGCTTCCCATTGACTGAAAAAATCTAAGGAATAGTTACAACACTTGAGGATTTTTCTGTAAGTCTGCATAACTATTTCTAAAGGAACACCTTTATACTAACCATCCATCTTCCATTCTGACTGTGCTAGCTGCTGTTGTTGTGAGGACAATCCATGCAAAATTATGTCCCTCTTAGTTTGGTGCACTATCAGAACAATATTTTCCCTGTTCCTATGTTGCTGCCACGTCCCGACCTCAAAGGAACGATCTCACTGTGGCCTCTTCATAAAACTACAGTTGTGTTCCCTCCTCTGCTTTCTTTTATTTTTTTTTATGGCTGATGTTATCTTCTGTTATTTTAATTACATGCTTTAAGGATGCCTGCTGCACAGATCATTGATGGAGTTTGATGTTTGTTAATATCACGTTGCGTTATGGAAATTTGGTACATTAAGACCTTGGTGTCTTTCCAAATTATTCTGAAGATATAAAAAACTTAATAAGCAACCCACTTTAACTAATGCAGACTAATAGGTTGAGAAGAGAGGAGGTGAGCCTGGGAGCTTGATTGTTTGTGGGATTGTAAGTAAAATGATTCGAAGAGCCCTTGATTGAAATTTGTTCTTTAAGGTCACAATTTGGCATCAGAATTAGGGGTAGGACTGGTGGGGATAAAGAAACCAGTTTGTGGTCAAATCAAGTCAACCTTTGTGCTTGCATTTAATTTTTCCCCAACCAGCAATTTGTCATTAAAAGCCAACACTTAGCTAAATCAGGTGCAGATGGTTGTTTTTATCAAATGAATGATGTTTTATCACTTTAAAAGCTTTTGTTTTTAGTCAAGTGAAGGAAGTGGGCAGCACTCCCTTGTTTTTGAAAGAAGAAGAGCATATGCTTTTTAATTTGAAATGTAGCACTAATAGCATTATCCACAGGGGATGGGCTGTGCTATTGTGGGTTGTGGATAATGCATTTATGCTCAAATATCCTTTATTCCCTTCTGAGTGAAAGAATTTAACAGCATATTGTATTACCGTGCCATAGAGAATATAGTTTACTCCTAGAATGAATTTTTTGACAGTCTCAACTCTGTTTTTGTTTCTGTTTTGTTAATTATGAGGGAAATTCTTGATGAATTTGCAATGTTCTTTTAACACCGTGCAGAAAAATGCCTTCAACCTACCATGAACGATGAAAAAATACTGTCGAGGGGAGATCTGGAGATAATGCAGTCAAGAGCCAGAGACAGTTTCAAAAATAGCTTTTCTGACACATCCCTTTTTTGCATTTCTCGGTCTCTGCTCTCTTCTCAACACAAGTTGGTGCTCATGCTCACAATGGTGCCAAGCCGAGGATGCTGCGAAACGCAGAGAAGAAAGCTTGAGATGAGGAAACTCGGTCCATTAGTGACTTTCTGTAGCAAACTCTTTTTCCCCAGGGCTGTAAGACAAATGGTTTAATAACCCAGAATGCTGTGCTCTTTGCTTCTGCAAAGTCGAGACTCTGCATTCAGCCATACCCACAGGTATCTCCAACAACCTTCTGGGAAAATGCTGAACAAACGGAGATCGCGACTTGGAGGCCCAGGGCTGGCCTTGCATTGTTTGCTTTTTATTGTAAGGCTTATCTCACTGTGTCATATGGCTAAAAACTGGAGCCTTGCCTTCAAGATAGCAATGGGAAAGCAAGAAAGCTTGTGCGCATTTGTCTTCAGGTCAGTTTTATAAATGAATATACTGATGCAGACCTCAACAGAATGCAAGGGAGAGAAACTGAGCATGAAAAAGCAAGTACAAGTCCTGACTTCTTTTCTGTCACGTGGCTTTCTGGAAATGGAAAATGTGAACACTGCTCTCACGAGCTGTCATCAGAGAATTGGCTGTGCTCCAGGAATATTGTCAAGTGCTGGACTGGTTCTTCCAGGCTGACACAGCAGGGATGGGCACAGCCAGCCCAGCTGCAGGCACATCTGGGAAATGCTACTGAGTGCTCTTCTCAGTTCCCATCTGCTCAAAGATCTTGGGATGTAGTGTCAGAGACACCAAGCCAAACTTGCTGGAGATGCTGGAATAGAGTTAGCTAACTCAGGATGGAAAGAAAGCATCACAGCCCATGGGCATGGTGTCCAAATGGAATGGTGAAAAAGAGGGAACGGGTTTTTGAAGACACTCTTGGCTCTGAGGGCTCTGAGTGCTCTACGCCCTGCAGCACTGTAACAGAAATGCTAAGTCAGAGCCTGAAGCAGTGATTGAGCACCTGGTGGGAAGGCAAGGCCAACCCAGGGGAGCTCAGGTGTATGCAATGCACGTGAGTGATTGGAGGGGGTGGAACCAGGCTCCATCCCTTCCCAGACCTCATTTAAGGGTTGGCAGTGGAGACAAGAATTTCTTGCTGCAGATCCTTGCCTACCTGTGGCCTTTCAAAGGTAAGACATTTTCTTCCTTTGTTTTTGTGTCCATGGCTGCTGTGTTTGAGCTTGTTCTCATTTGCTGTAGCCTAGGAGTTTGCCACCCTGCTCTTATTGCTGTACTTTCCATTATGTTATAACATTACAAGCAGGAAACAGAAAGTAGGGCTGCTATCTCTTAGGAGAGTTCAGTTGAAATCAAGCCTGAATGTGGCCTGACCTGCTGCTGGGTAGCAAGACCTTCGCCTGCCTCAAGCATCCTACAAATGGAACAAATGGTGTGGTATCCATCCTAGTGCTGTTCTGGGAAGCATGCTAATATTTGTGTCTTCTTCAGGAAAGATTACTTGTACGTAGTTTTAGCCATTTAAAAGTTGAGGTGTCTAAGCTGGTGATCCAGGATTCATCTACAGGCTGTGGAGAGAAAGAGGGTGAGTCACCTCTACCAATGTGCAGTGTCTAAAGTGGGTGGCATGATTCATCCTTCGAAAGCAACAGCCTCTCTTTCTATGGCTTAAATGAGTAGCTTCAGCTAAAAGTCTAACTTTCTGGCAGAAAAAAATCAGTTTCACTATTACCCAAGTTTGCTCTGAGCTACTTTCAAAATCCACAGCTACATATGTAAGAAGGTTTACTTCTCAGTAGATGGCCCTTTCAAAGGGCTGTTTTGTGCTTCCTCCTGGGATCGGCAGATCTTTGTCCTTCAAAACGGTGCTGAGATGGTTTTCTCAAGTTTCATAGGGTCAGAGAAACTAAAGCCTATTGGGAGGATAAGTAGAAGTCACTAAGCCCATCCCCAAACCCGAGGCAGAAAGCTGCAGCTAAGTTGTGTTATCTTTAGTGCTTCGTCCTTTCAACAGTATCTTCCAGAAGTCAGTAAGAAAATTCCAGTTGCCTTCAATGGGCTTTCATCCAAGCCTGCAGAGAGAGCAATAGAGAAAATTCAGCTGCAGAGACAAATCAACAGAGGGGAAAGGTAATAGCACAAGAGAACTAAGGGATGTAAACATGAGAGGGGGAGAGGGAAACCAAGAGAGCTGCTTTAAAGGCTGAGCAGTGGAGGAACACAGAGGCAAGGCTCAGTGGAGGGGAGATGTGGGCAGGGCGAGAGGGACAAGCTGGTACCCTTGAAAGAAGCCTCTCTCCAGTGCTGCAGTGTCACATCCATTTGAAAATGCCTAACTGCTCTTCAGTTTAATCATAGCTGCGCTTTTGGGTATAAGATGAATAATTAAGCCTGGGAGTAGAATACAGTAAGTGTTAATAGAGCTAAAGGTACTGCAAAGCCCTTATAAAAAGCTGTGCTTGCAGCGCGAGTGGCTGCTGTTCTCTGCGTCCCCAATCACAAAGTGAGGAGCATGAAAGTACTAAATTAAATGAAGTGCATCTGTATCTATTCTGCTTGATGTTTTTCCCTTCCGTGTTTCATACTATTGCATGCTAAATAATACCCTGTCTCTCACAAAGGTTGAACGGTCTAATTCTACATCTTCCTCCCAAATCAAACAAGGTCAGACAACCTGCACATTGTAGAATTACAGAATTGTTTGATTTGGAAGGAATCCTTAAAGGCTATCTTATCCAACTCCCTGCCATGAGCAGGGACACCCAGAGTTCCACCAGGCTGCCCAGAGCTGGATCCTTCCATGCCCACCCCTGCAGACTCCCACAGGCACATTCTCTTATTTTCATGTTAAACATTAACTTATACATGATGGCTTAAAGAGATGAGGATGAAGTGGTGGTGCTAGGGGCTCTTTTTTTTTTTTCAATGCCTTCAACGTTGCTTCCTATTGCTGTCCCAGTTCAATCCATAAGAGGTGGTAATTAAGCAGTGTCTGAAAAGACATTGTCCCAGCTACGTTGGGCAGCACCTGGCTCTTGCAGAGGATAGTGTGCAAGGAGCTGGGTTCATTCCTATGAGAGGGATGAGATGGAGTGCCACGTCAAATAGCAAACACAAAGATCCTCTCGTAGGTCCTCATTTTCCATATGCACCCAGTTAAACTAATGTGAACTAATCAAATTAGGATGGGAAGGAAGAGAGGTGGTTATTTTTAAGTACTTGAGAGATGTTTGGGAATGGGAGGTCACGCAGGTAAAGAGGGAGGTCAATAAATAGAAAGAAGGAAATTATTTTTACCCATAGCAGATAAGGTATTTTTAGAGCAATCACCTGAAAGATCCCTGAACTACGCAGAATGATGAGCACTGCTCACACAGCAGCAGTAATGGGAGCTACAACTGGCACGGATCCATGGTCCCCAGCTTATTTCAAGTGAGATTTAAGTGTAATGATTTTTTTTTTTCCCCTTTTCACCCCCCTGCTGTCCTTACTGCCGTCACTGGGGTTACCGCAATGATCTGACTCTCATGTGGGCATTTGTGGAAGTTTTCAGTTCTTGCTATGTGGGCATTTCCTCCCTCCTTTGGCTTGTGTTTCATCCATTTATTCTGACTGCTCTGCTCTCACTTCTGTGCGAAATGGAAGAGACAAAAAGCTGAACCTCCACAGGCAGGTGGGAAAAGAGCTCCTTCCTGCAGGACTTGTGTGTGTTGGTGTGGGAGGGAGAGACGTCACTGGGTTTTTATTTTCACTATTGGCTTTTTTGCACACTACCCCACATGGTTTCACTGATTTTTCAACATCACACTTTGTCAGCAAGAAGACAGGACCAGCACCTTCATTTCTTATAGTCAAATTTTTAGGGGAAGGCAAATGTCTTTAGATGAGGATAAACTTAGAACTTGCCTCCCACAAGCATTCCTCAGGGATGTCGTAGACATGACCATGGAATGCGAAGAACAATATTTGATCTCCAGCCTTCTTAGAAGGGACCAAATCCTCCAAGTGATTCAGCATAAATGATGCTCTGCCATAAAGCTGTAAACTTAGCAGATGTTTCCAAAAGCATGGGGAGGTGTCTGAGTGCATCCCTCAACCTGAATTGGGATTTTTTTCCTCCTAGACACTGGGCTTTTGAGTAATTCAGTACATTGATGTATTCCTGCTGACCGGGGGAAGCAGCTGCTTGAGAGGCATTTTCCTATCTTGCATTATCTGCAACCTTAAGCTGAATGTCTTGCTGCATCCTCCCCGGCCACGCCATTGAAGATGGTGCTGCTTTGCCTTTGTGGTTTTCCCAAGTGAGGGCAGTGAAAGGGGATTTTTTTTTTCTTTCAAGGATCAGAGCAAAACACAGAAGATGCCAAATGATAAATATTTGACTTTCAAAGATGTAAAAAGAAGAGCAGCATCAAGGGAATCAATCTCTTGGGATGTCCTGTGGTCTGAATGTACATTTTGTATTGCTGAGATAGGAGCTGGGGATGTGGTGTGTAAAAATGTGGGTTTTACAAGGAAAAAGAATCATCCAGGAGACCTCTGGGAAATCACAGGATGTGTGTACACCTTATGGTTTGTATAAAATTAAATGTTTTTTCCTCTTGGAGATATTGATCCTTGTTCTTTTATTATCATGATTATGGGTTTTTTTTTTTTTCACTTGCTTCATTTCCCATATCCCTGTCTTTCAGATCCCTTGTTTGAGTTGGTCCTATTTATCTAAACCAGGTTGGTAACTCTCATTTCTTTTCTCTTTTGCTCTCAATAATTATAGGTCTCCTAGGAAAGCTGGCCTTCAGTAGAAATTTTGTTGAGGTTTTGAAAGATTTTATTAGAAAAGATTTGGATCCTGCACAATTATCAGTTCTGAAAGGTGCTTTGCCCACCTCCTCCAGTGGAAGTGCTATTGATCATTTCACAAAAGGAAGGCATGCACTTACAGAGAGAAAAGTTGAGGTCTGGTTGTCTTTTCAACATCAATGATAAAATTGCATCTCATGTTCACCTCATTCACCTTAGCACCACTGGTCTGCACTAATTAAGGTGGAGCAAGCCGTGCCAGTTAATAAAGAACACTGTAATTCAGCTTGTGCTAGTCCATGCTTGCAACAAGAGGAAAAACCCAATAAATGATTGCAAAAGATGGGCTTTGATTAATAGAGATAGCTGGGGCTTTTGTTCCCTGATTGTATGGCATAGACTGCAAAACCCTGCCACTATCAATGGCTTAGATGTAACACTCGAAATACCATCTCTCCCTTTAAAGCTGGGCTCTATCTTGTAAAATCCTGCTGTAAAATATTGCAGACATTTGTCATAATTTTTTTTTCCAAAAGCACTGTTCTGCTTGGCCAGATGAGCTACTGTTCTGCTCTAAGGCCTTGCACCCAGGGAAATCACATCCCATGAGAGAGATGACTTTTGGAGCCATCACCTCATTTCCTGTAAGCTAAACACCAGAGTAGCTTACAGAATATTTTGCTCATAGGTCTATTGTAGATGTCCATAGGTGTGTTAACTTTGGTTCCTTCTATCCAGGATAGCTCTTAATCACTGTCAGAACAGACTTTTGATACATCACAACCACAAACCCTTGCTACGTGTCCCATGTCCTCTGTGCTGAGCCACAGCACAATGGATTACAATGCTGGGAAATTACAGGAAGTATATACCTTATGGTTTGTATAGAATTAAACAATTTTTTTCTCTTAGATGCATTGATCCTTGGTTTTTCCCTATTATGATTTTTTTTTTTTGCTTGCTACCTCTGACACCAGGTGCTGTGTGACGCCTTCAGCCTCAGCCATGGGGAATGTGATGCACACCAGTGTTGGCAGACTGGCTGGAAGATTGAGGAGTGGGACAAACACTTGGTGCAAACCCATGAGCTTCACACAGCCCAGCCTGATCTGAACCAGCACATGTGGTGAGACCCTAGAACAGGCTGCCCACTGAGGTTGTGGATACTCCCTACCTGGCAGCGCTCAGGGTCAGGCTGGATGGGGCTGTGAGCAACCTGGTCTCATGGGAGGTGTCCCTGCCTGTAACAGAAGGGTTGGAGCTAGATGATCTTAAACATCCCCTCCAACTCAAACTATTCTATGATTATAGCTGTGTAGGCAGGAGACAGAGCAATCATGGATCAATCCTTCCTCCCAGCAGCTCCCAGGCTCTCTCAGGAGCACTAAGAGTGGTCTGTGTGTACTCAGCAAGGCCAACTTTTCACACCCCATTAGCCCAGATGTGATGAACCTCACTTTCCACAGCCAATTCTGCTGATGGAGCTGACCAAGATTTTTTTATTCCCAGCTGAACGGTCTTCTCTCAAAGAAAAGCAAATTCAGCAAAATATATTTTTTGTTGACATTTTTTATGGGTAATTATTGAAACACTTCCATTTTAGCATTTGGCCAATTCTGTCTCATCTGGCATGAAGTAATCAAAATCCAGTAGAGAAGCCCTCACTGGAATTACCTCTTTCAACCATTTTATGCAGTTCTCCTTCAAGAAGGCTGTCCTGAGATTCCCAAGCTGAAATAGAATGGGATGGGATGTTGCCTCTCACCCTACACTTTGACAGTGCTTTTCATTTTGCTTTGGGACTTTCCTCCACAACACACAAATATTGCTCCAGAAAGCTGCATTTCTAAGGAGGAAGGTTGTCTTGTGCCAACTGAATCACAGACGGGATGGTTTGACTCAAGGCGTGTAGAAATTCACAGTTGCCACAGCAAGGCTCCTCATGCAGCCAAGGCAATGCAGGGAGGAGTCGATGAAGGGAGACCTGTGTGGTTTTATAGTGACAGATTTCTTTGCATAATGCATTTTGGGTGAAGTTTCAGGTTTATTTTGTACTTATCTGATGTCAGAAGAGTACATATTAAGTCTTCAAAAAAAGAAAAAAAAAAAGGTTTTTTTTTTGTAATCAGCTTATTGCAGCCTTCCATGTATAATAACACAGTTATATGGCAGTAAACCTGGAATCCTACAGGAGTTTGTTGTAAAGTGACAGATTCAGGTCAAAGCTGTTAATGAGCAGCCAGGCTGATGTGTAATGCATAATGAAGAAGAAAATGACATTATTGTTTTACAGGTGAGCTCAGAAAGTTAGGATATGCCAGGTCCATTAGAGCAACTGTGTTTCTTGAAGTTTAATATCTTGCCTCTGGCCAGTACCTGATAGCTCAGAAAAACTTGGGCTATTTTATTGCTGATAACTAAAGGCACGCTGTAGATACATGGTTTTTGGCTACTTAGCTCCCTCCTCCCTGGCAACAAACCCTAAATGTCCCAGTTGTCTTTTCTGTAGGTGCAGACTTTGAAGGGTGCTGGTATGGGGTGGGTATGACCATTCAGACCCATATTTTTTTCTTTGCTCTGCCACTGTGAGACCCAATGCAGCTGTTTCAATGTCTGTTCTGCCTTTCTTATCTGAAATGAATGCTTTTTGGGGAATGCGTTTCTCATGCCCCTGTTGTCTAGTTGGCTTTTTTGTTTCCTAATGCTTCTTTGTACTTATTTTCATTAATTGGAGCCTATAATGAATGCACAAGTAATACTGGCCTGAAAAAAAAAAAAACCAAACAAACAACAAAACATTGCTCACCCCATGAGGAATATCAAAGTAGTAAAAAAGCACTTTGGAAACGGGAAGAGATGCAAAAAGACAAAAGCAATCATTTCTGTTCAGCATTTCCTGGGAAGAAAGGGCAGCAAGCAAATACCCTAACAAACAGTTGACAAGCAGGTCCTCCTCTGTGAGACTGACCCCTGAAAGATGATTGGGAACTTCAGCTGTTGTCACACGCGTTTTCTTCTTAATTGGTGCTCTCCTGAGATGCTGCTTGAAACGAGGTCTCCTTTCTGTTATGTCTCTGAAATGCCATCCACTCTGGTGTCTTGGTGCATGACTGAGGTCCCCCAGTGCCACATCTGAGATATTAATTCTCATTAAGAAGTGATGCAATTTGTGTCCGTTTGGATACTTGCTGTGCTTTTCACTGGCTGTTCTGGGTGCAGTGTAGGAATTCATATCAGTCTATTGCCCACTGCTTGAGATGACTGAACCCAACCCAGACACTGAAATTAAAGAAGTAATTCAGGCTAGTAAGTTGCTTTGGGATCTCAGCCCTCCCAGGCCTTTATGTCCCTGAGATGTGGGATTCCCCTAGAACTCAACACCCATTACCAGTTATTGACAACTAGGGATCTGAGGCAGAAAAATATGTTGTCATGATCTTAACTCGTGGTTTTGAACGGTCCTTTTGACTTTCACACATGCTCAGTATTGCAACCCTCAGTGCTCAGCACCACGCAGGACTGAGCCCTCACTAATCCTTCTAAACCCAAGTCTATTGACTTTCAAAGCAAACCGCAAGGGCTTCTTATCTACATTTCCTGAGCAAGCTGCTTGCTTAGGCTGAGCCTTTTGCATTAGTCTTCACCAGAGTTGATTTTGAGCAGCGAACATGATTAGATTTTCATATCAAGAGAGACTGAAAGCATGGAGATGGTTGCCAAACATCCAGGAGTAAGTCAGGAGCGAACTCCCTTCATCAAGCGGTTTGTGAAAACACAGCAAGATCAGAATTAGTGCCTAATCCCAACCCAGATAATATCCAGGTTTTGTTTTCTCACTCTGGAATGAAACTTAACAGAACCCTGAGTCTGAGTGTCTTAGGGAGGCTTGAAAACCAGATCTCAGTTGTTAGCTGCATGACATTTGTATAATCTGATCCTGTCATCACATTGCAGAACAAGATTCAGCCCTAAATTACACCACAACCCAACTCAGACAAGCTGCGTGTCGTCAAGAAGCCTGCCCCAGAAAACAGGCTGAAATAAGGATTGTTTTGCCTCTAGAATATTTCTGTTGCTGGCTTCTCTTTGCACCAAAATCAGGCAAAGGCAGTGCTTTTAGGCTCGACCTGAGCATTTGGGGTGTCTCAAGATTAACACTAAATCCATGCCATGGTAACACATTGCTGTATATCTTTGTTAAGGTCACTACCAGAGCCTGTGAGAGTGGGGCACTCAGGCAGCAAAACTGTCAGGGAAAATAAAAGCATATCTAGAATAGCACCTCCTGTCCTGATGTCTGTCCTGTTGATACAACAGTCAGTCTGATGGCTGAGACTAAAAAATGATGAAATATATCATTTCTATATACATGAATATACACATGCTTTTTTGTGTTTCTGGCTTCATGATATCAGGTCTCTTGACTTCCTCGAATTTAGCAGCACCTCTTTGCTCTGCTCCTGGCAGCATCTTTGAGACCTCGTGACTTCAGATCATGACAGGTATTCAAAACCAGGTGTGGCTTAGATAACTGAAAAGTAACATGTACTTTCAGCTCCTATTTCCATCAGAAATACCAAATTTAATTATTATTATTTTTTTTTTCCAATTTTAGGCTTTTTTTAGAATTTCAACCAAAATAATTCAGTTGGCCATCTTCTACTGCAGGCTGTGGTGCTGGTAACTCCCAACACAGCTCACAGCAATGTATCACTGATACATTCATACTGATGAAAATCTTTCCTTATATAAGGTGTCTCGGTAATTTTCCTGTTTCATTTTGTTTCTTTGTTCAGCTACATTTGTTTGCATTTTGCCGTGACACTGCAGTGCTATTTTGAGCTGTGTTTATATGGTGTGTTTTACATACGAAGCTAATGGACTGGTGTTGTTCATTATTGAGCCAAAACTGTTAAGAGGGAAGGGTCAGTGACAGGATTGGTTTGGGGAGTAAGAGAGTCCTCCCTGAGCAGTGAGGTCAGTAATCCAATTTCTTTTGTGCCCGACTGTTTCTCTTCAGGGTCACCTAACCAGATCCTTCTCCTCTGCAGGCTCTGCTGCAGTGATAATTTTTTCTAGCAATAATACCTTTCGGAGCTCTCTTGGGGAGGGACCCATGGCCTGTTTTTTCTAGGTCTCTCCACGAGGTCAGATTTCTTTCCTGCCTGTGTTCTGAGGAAAGCAAGCACTGGAGGGCAATGGGAACCAACCAGTTGCTGCACTGCTCTACTGCACACCACGAACAGTGAGGGCTCAGAACGGTGTGGCTGGATCCGTGAGCCCCATGGAGATGGATCTCATGGCACGAAGTTGTTCCTGGTGGTCAGGATTGCTATTGGCAGTTTTGAACGTGAGGTTTGTTTTGGGCATCCTGCGAGCACAGATTGCATTGAGTTGTTTTTTTCTTGTTACAGAAAAGGAAAGACATCTTGGCTTGAAGAGTGGACTTGTATCAAGCACCCATCTCATACCAGGAAAAGTCACAAGTTGGAAATTCAAGATGGGGAGCTGAAATTTCTAACAAGTTTTCTTATAGATCTTTTAGTCCTCGCTGTTTTTCAGGTTTATTTAATTTACAGAAGATTAATAATTCTGATGACACTCAGAGAAATTAGTTTATGCTTAAAAAAAAAAAAGAAAGATTACTGGAAAAAGGTGCAGAGAAGATGGAGGGTCTTAGTTGATAGGTGGTTTTGAGAAAGGATCTTGAACAAGGACCATAATTTGACTGGGTCCAGCAGGTCCATTTCAAAGGAATGTGGAAATGTCTTGTTCATGACCTCCTTATGCCCTGTCTTATCTCCCTCATGCCTCTCCTGACACCTAACTGCTATCTCCACCTCCTGTATCTCTGCTTTCAGACAAGAACCTGCAGCACCTGAACCTTGTGATGCTTTCCTTTTCAGCAAGGTTCATCGAGGAAACTGCTTTAGCTGGAGGCAGGAGTGCACAGTCTGGGTTGCTGCTCAGCACTGAGAGCTGAGCAGTCGGACTGGGGATCTTGCAGTGTGCTGTAGTGCAGGAGATGCCATCTGCCAAACGTCCTCCCGAGTGGTGTTTGAGCAAGTGGGCTAAAAAGAACATCCTGTGCATGGCAGCTGAAGTCCGTCACAGCTGTCACGGGAACATGCACGCACAGCCTGGGCTGGAGGTGGATCTGGCTCTGCGGGGAGGCTGGGCATGTGGCCAAGAAACCTCCCTTCTTTGCCTATGTTTCCCTTAGGGGAAGGGAAATGCTGGCTTAGCACGGCCAGAAATTGCTCAGAGGAGCAGGATAGCACTGAAAAGCATTGGCATTCTTGGGTGCAGCTCACCCAGGCAGACACTGACGCCTCTAACTGAGCTTGTCAGAGCATCATGGCTAGCCCTGACTTTTTTGAGGTCACAGTCACGAGTACCATTGTCCCCAAAAGCAGTACATCTCCTGTGTTCTTGTCTGCAACAGCAAACAGGCTTTCAGAGAAGAGGAAAATAAGAGAGGGAACAACATCCATCCTTTGTTTATCCCTATCATTACCTCCACCTTACTCCTCGTGCACCCACCTCTGATTCTTGGAGGACATACCTGCTCCAGGACATGGCTGTTGGAGCTGCAGAGCGGAGGCTGGGGGTCAGTAGGGCCATGCCCTTGGCTTCTGAGGAGGGCAGAGCTGCCGTGGTCCAGACTCTTCCTGATGATTTCATGTGAGAGCTAATTAATGGCCTCCCCACGTCTCCATAGCAACTCCATGCTGTGCTCTTAGCCCTGATCCAAATGGGCATTCTGTACACTTCTGAAGCCGTAGCATCAGCATATTAATAAGATTTGCTGACGTCCTTTGCTTTCTGCCACATCGGCTGGGAGCTCTAAATTTGAATAACTTTTAAAAAGCACTTTTCTTAATCAGCTCCTTGTCCATTCTCTCATGTGACTTGAAGCAACTGATCCCATTAGTCTTCTGCATTTCGGGGCTAAAAGTAGGTAGAGTCTGTTCTACCTGCTGGTCTTTGCCATTCTTAGCCTTTAGGATATCTGCTGTCTGGTTTTTCTTTCTTTCTTTCTCTGTTTTTTTTTGGAAGCTCTAGCTTTCACAGAGTCACTAACTGCAGCAGGTGACAAGCATCTGCCATGAGTCACTAGGACCACCCCACTATTAGTCGGGATGGACCATCTCAGGGATTGCTTCCTATCTCCCACTTGTATGGGAGAAGGGAGTTGAGCTCCATTCTTATCCAGTCAGATGATGACTGCCCACATCTAAAAGTCTGAGGATCCCTTTTTTAACACTGTCCCATATAGCAACATTTACCAGCCATGCTGCTCAGTGATCCTAATGTTATAGGTGAAAGTACTCTCTCAGTGCAATCTAATTCTCCTCTATTAATTACCGTTCAATCTTACATTGTCTTGTAAAATATTTTTCTGGCCAGGTGGAGGACTTGGACATGACTACCTCAAAAGACCATTAATATCACTGCAGCACTGGTGTGGCCTCTCAGGAGTGATCTGAGCTACTGTCTCTTATCACAGCCAGAAGTATAGGAGATGGCTGCATTGCTTGCAGATCAAATACCCAAAAACAAATCCGTGAAATCTGTTTCTGGACCTGGTAGTCACAGGTCCTTCTTACCAGGTGAGGTTTGATGGGACTGAGCAGTGAAAGCAGACTGTGTGCTCTGTTTGAGGCACTACGAACATTTCACATTTGAAAGGTAGGGCATGAAAGTTTTCTTGTTATGTAACCTGGACCCAGACATCTGTTTCTGTCATCAAAAGCAGAGGAGAGTGTGGCCCAAGACACAGTTGATCACATTATTTGGTTTTGCTTTTCCTTTTTGTCTCTGACATACATTTTGAGCTCAAAACATTGTCTCATTGCACAATAGCTACATTTTCCTCTACTCTGAAGGACAAGAGAATTGATCCATGACATCTCATCTTCATTCCACCTCCAAATGTCATCCAGCCATGCTGCAACAGCCTTACTGCACAGAAGCTCTACATTAATGTTGTGATGTGCCATTATGCTTTGGTGGCATATCACCAGATCAGGAACTCATGAGGGACTTCCTATGCTGACAGTCTATCTGTGCTAAATTTCCTTCCATATTCCTAGTCTGATTTTCAACACTCCAGCTTCATTATCCCAGCCATGGTGGAAATGCTTGTCCATGTAAGGCAACCCATCTCCAACCCCTCTGCTGCCTACCATGGCTTTGGTTATGTCTGGACAGCAATGATTTAAAGTTCTGTTGGTTCCCAGTGTCTTGTTTAAAGTTCCTGGTGTTGCCCTCCTTGCCAAAGCACAGTACAATCAGGGTTGATCATGCCCAGGCATCGTTAGCAAAACATGAGAGCAGTCAATTTGATCTCTAACAGTCCCACGAACACCAGGCAAGATTTAGCTCATGTGTTGTTAGCTACCCACGAGATCTGAGATTTAATTGCAACTTCTCTAGCTGCTAGTCACTAGAGCTGGATACTTATCTCATAGGAAAGCAATTTATCAAATTAATTTCACTTTATATAAGCACATTCACTATTCCCAGCCACGAACTGATCCCATCATTGAATGCAGACTGCATCTCAGGCTATAGGTTGCTCGTAAGCAGTAGTCAGTATTTTTGGAGTAATAACTATAGTTCTTTTTCAGTGTCAGCTCCTCAGGTCATACATGTAAATTAAACAGTATATTTGTATTCCCTGCTTGGATGGATGAAACTGCCAGGAACATTATTTTCACTCATAATTACTAATTTGACATTCATTTCCCATGAATACTCTTCACTATTTGCTTAAAACTAGCTTCCATGCATACCATTGCCAATGAATTTTCCCTCATTGGAAAACTGACATGGAAATGTCACAGCTATAAAGAAACGTTTGAATGGTGGGGTTCTATAAGCATGAAACTCTGCTATGCAAACAAGGACCATTCCAAAAAAAAAAAAAAAATCAAAAAACAAATGAACAAATTAAGAAAAAGGCAACCTTCAATCTCTTGCAGGGACTGATCAGTAAAGGCAGAAAGAGATCCCAGTGTGTGTTGGGGAAAACACAAAGTCACGAGTTACTACCAGCTGAAATGGATGAACGTCCCTAGAAACGTCTTTGTTGAATTCGCTCAGATCTTCTTCAGGCTCATGCAGATCCCCTTTTTGGTGGACACACAAGGGCTGATGTGTTCTTTTATGACTAGGATTCTATTCTTTGTTTTCTTACTAACTAGACAGTTTCTTGTATGCCCTCAATCATTAGTTCCGCAGGAGAGTTCAGTGAATGTTTATTTTCCTTAAGGTATCCAACTCCTTCTCAGCTTTGATTTGCATCAACCAAAATCTCTCAAATTGAACAAAACCTGAAGCCAGACTTAATTGCCTAAGTCCCTGGAGTCGTATGAGTAACACCACAATGCATTTAGCTCTTTTCAGAAGAACTGATGTTATTCTAAGAATCCGCAAATAAGATCAAAACCTGCACAATTTGGAACTTGGCTGAACCACCATGTTAAATCTTGAGCCAGATCTGAATCTTGGGTGTTGGGTCAAGGCCTCCTGCTCAGCCCTGCTTTTCCACAGGATGCTCCTCCAGTTCTACAAGTCTGAAGGATGAGAGTTATTCCTTCTGAAAGGGCAGAACTGTCACTAGCAGTTTTGGCAAAGAATTTTAACTAAAAATAGTGGAATTAAGAGAAATAACCCACTACTCTCCTCCCATTGTGTTCAGGCTTTATCACCAGCTCAGCTGAGCCTACATTCATTCACTCTACCCTGTATTTAAAAAAAAATATATCCAAACACACATGCACACACACTGCAAAACTTTACACAGCTTTTGGTTATTTCAGGTTTTTTGTCTGTCTGATAACTCAACCCTTTTAAATCTTTTCCCTTTGTAAACTGAGAGCAGATTTTCGTGAGTTCTGGAGATACTGTAATAAAATTTTTCTCATCTGTTCTCTGTTTGGTTTTGTATGTTTGTTTGTTTGTTTGTTTTATGGACAAAGAATGTGAATGAAGGATATTCTTCATAGCCACAGATAGCTACGTATCACCCATGTACCCCTCAGCATCTCCAGGATTCTTTGGAAATACATTTTCTTACCCTGTGCTTTGGGTTTTTGCGGTGATGAGTTTCCCAGTGTTATCAGACATACCAGAACATAGGTTAAAAACCAAACTCAGGTTTGCTATTAATTAACTCTAGGTTTTCCAGCGTGAAATATAATTTTGACTTTCTCAATTTCAGGGTGTTCAGACACCTTAAAGAGCAATGACTCAGGAAGTTTTACAGAGGTTGAGCTCCGGCCTCTCTGAAGGCAACAGCAGCCTGCTGGCAGGCATGGAATGAAACGAAAGGAGACCTGACCATCCTTCTCCTCAGCAAGAGCTGACACTACCTCTGGTGAGAAGTCTTCCAAAGTGAAATTGCCAAAGTGAAGCCACCTCAGATCTGCATCCACCCTTCCACCTGCCGTGTCTTCTCCCCGATGAGGCCCTTGCTTTACTCTCAAAGGACTGCCATCACCTTCTGTCCTTCAGCAAAGCTCATCACGGGCTGGGTGAATAACTCAACATAAAGCTGGCGTAAATCTCAACAGGAGAAATATCTTTTATCTTTAACCATTTACTCCCACTAGGAATAATGGCAGTTCTTTTACATTTACATATAACTCTTTTTTGTTTGTTTGCTTTGATTTTTTTTGTCTCTTTGTCTTGGCACCTGCATAGCAGAAATCTTTACAGTTCATTACAGAAATTTGCCCCTCTCTCAGCTCCTCCCTTTATTTATTTACCCTGCTGCCCCTGAGGACTAGCAAGCAACACCTCCAAGGTCAAGAGAGAGTAAGGTGTTACTCTTTTATGACGGATTATAGAAATAACAAACATGCCTGACAGTTTTATACAGCTGCTAGAACGGGTTTAGTTTTCAACAAATGAAGAATTTCCTCTTTTTTTTTCTCTTTTGTATATTAATTACATTTTACAAATTTTGTTTTTCCCCCTTCTTTACTTTTTTCCCCCTTTTTCTTTCTTTCTTTTTACTTGTTTTTTTTTTTTTTCCCTTTTTTTTTTTTTTTCTCTTTTATTTTTTTACAGCAAAAGGATCAGTCACCAACGTGTCCCACTCAAAAGTCTGGGTTAGCAGAGTTTGGCTGTCATCTGATCCGACTGTTTGAGGATCTCGGTGTTGTACAGGTCTAAAGCGTGGTTCACACGGATGATCTCACTGTTGGTGAGCTTCAGGCGGTGCTTGAGCATACAAGAGAACAGATCCAGCTGGGGCTTCCCCGGGGCCACAGGAGGTGCCAGTCTATTGATTCGGTCCCGAATATCCAGCAGCAAGAGCATGACGGAGGAGGAAGAATAGAACTGCCCACCTTGCGTGTACGACTGGTTGACCTGCTGCACGGCGCTGCGCAGAAGGTCAGCGTTGAAGCGCAGGCTGTAGCCGTACACCTGCACGTCCGAGATCTTGATGTAGAACTGGCGCTTGCTGGGGTCAGAAAGGTCCACGGGCCCTTGGCCTGTCTCGTTTCGCAGCAGGGAGGGCAGCCGTGTCCGGCTGCGTAGGTAGATGTGGACGGTCTCGAAAAAGGTTTTCCACCGGTTGCCCAGTAGCAGGGTCCAGTTGTAGCACTGGCTGTTTTGGAGGCGGATTTTCTCCCAGCGTGGGTAGCCGTACTCCCCAAAGGGCATGTTCCAGCCCTCGGAGTGACTCCCGCTGAACGGGTTGACATAGACAAAGAACATAGGGTCCAGGCTGCTGTTGCGCATCTGGCAGATGCGCATGGAGATCCCAATCACCATGTGGATGAAGTCCATCCTGTTCTTGTTGCTCTTCAAGGTGAGGGACATGCGTTTGCGCCACCTGGGGTCAAAGAAGGTGTCCAGGCGGATCTCGTTGCTGATGAAGGTGGTATGCACGTACAAGCGAGAGTCCATTTTCTGCAGCAGGTACTTCAGCTCTAGGTCCTGGAAGTCCAAGTCCGTCTCGAAGCTGATGAATTGCTCACTCCGCTCTGAGTCTACGTTCTGAGGCTCGCAACGGCCCCGATAAAGCTTATAGCCCTTGTTGCACGAGCCGCAGAGAGAGATATTGGCAAGGCTGCACATGGCACAGCTGTTGTTGCCCCCAATGATGCAAGGGATGGGACGCTGGCACAAGCTGGTGCCACCGTGGCAAACACAGCTCCGCTGGCTTTCCAAAAAAGTGCCCCAAAACCCATTCTCATTGCAGTAGAGTAGGGACTGGACCCGGGTAAGCCATTCCTGTATTGTCCTGCAGGTAGGAAGAAGAGAGGATTAGCATCATAGAGCCTCACAGAATCTTTGGTGTTGGCATCTTTCTACGGTCATAGTGCTTTTAGGGATATAACTGGAGCAGAGCTCTCAGGGCATTGATGCCCTGCTACAACATTTGGGAACTGTTCCAGGTTACTTCTAGGCTAAATCTTACATCTGGTGTTTATTCCTCCCACAGAGAACAAAAGCCCTCTAAGAAATAGCCATAAGTTAGCACTGATCATCTAAGGGCTCTCTCTTCATGCTGCTCTAAGAGCTGAGACTGGCTCAGCCTTCTGACAATGCTCCCATCAGCGTAGTGCTGAGAAAGTTCAACCATGGGAACAGAGCTGATAAAGCAGTGCCAGAGGCTGAACTGTTATCAGGTATTGCAGCATAACTCCTAGACTGGCGGGAGGCAGCCGCCCATCTCCATATCACAGGCAATTCCCTCCACTCCCCAAAAACAGATTCTGTAATGGGATGAGACAAAGCCAATAGTAACCTCTGCTCATGGTGCAGAGTGCAAAAACCAGCAGAGAAGAGTATGCAAGTCAGGGTGCACAGAGACCAAGCTGCTTGAATGGCTTCTCCTTTAAAAAATCTGCTGCTAATTCATCTCCTCTTACAGCCTCTCATCCAGCCACGCTTACCCATTCCCAAGTCCCACCACTCCCATCACTGCTCCATGACCACCCTCATCTCTGCATCCCACAGCCCTGCATTGGCTCCTAATGAATGACACCATAACCCACGTTTGCTTTTCATATGACCGCCCTGCAAAGCTGCCTCGCTGCCCCTTCTCCCCCCTCTCTGGGAAATCTCAGCACAGCAACTCCTTTCTCTGCAGCCTTCAGCAGAACGCCTCGTTCAGCCTCGTCCAGCTCCCTCCCCCCCTGCCTTTCCCTCAGCTAATGAATACTTCATTGTCTCTTCTGGGCAAAAAGTTCTTGGTAGCACTGCAGTGAGAGGACTGGCTAATGACAAATTAGGATTCAGTCCCTGTAGAACAGGAGGAGTGATTATGGACAGAGGCTCTCAGAGCTGGATTAGTGAAATTCATGGCACCTGCATCGCCTGACCTCCGAATAATCATTAAGCTGTAGGCTGTATCAAAGAAGGCATTAAATGATACAGCAGCAACGAACAGCAAGATGATTAGGGGGAGGGAGTGAGAGGAGGGATGAGAGTGTAAAACAGAGGAAAGCACTGGAAGGAAAGAAATAATCGAGGAGCAGAAGTAGAAAGGGAAAAAGAGGGGAAAATGTGCAGGTAAAAGGAAAAATAGGCGAGAAATGCAGAAGGCTTAGGGATGCTGAAACGAGCAATAACTGAAAGACAGAGGAATGGCAGGAAAGAACAGAAGCACAAAGAAAACTGAGAAAAACACAGTGAAGAGGAAAAAACGAAGTGAATCATCACAAAAACTCAGAAGCCTTGAGTGCGGGAAGGGGCAATTTTCACGTTCCTCCTGTGGTACAGGGCTGTCAGGGTTGCCTCCCTGTGATCAGAGCTAGCATGAGCTCTCCTGCCAATGGAAAAGCCTGGTCCCTAGAAAAAGGGCCCAGGACATTGCCTGGCTTCTAGGGCAGCTCTGGTTGGAGCACTGCAAGTTTGAAGCTTTATGATACAGATTTCATATGCTGATAATGACATCGAGTTCTTAAGATGTGAGCTGTGCAGAAGGGATGCTATAAAAATTGGAGTAAGATGACCACATCCTATCCAGCTGGTGTGTTCTGTCCTAGGGAAGAAAAAAAAAAGGAAAAAAAAGAGAGAAAAAAAAAGAGCTATTCTTCCTTCCTTATCTTTTACCAACTGTTGGTAGAGCAAAACAAAGGAGTTTTGGCTGATATTTTGCAATTGAAACTAGTAATTTCCCTGTTCCTCAGATCAACTTAGTGGAGGAAAGATGGAAGGAGATCTGCAGAAGGAAGTGTTCTGTGTGCGCGTCTTAGCGCTCAGCAAAGACACAAGTAGGACACAAGCGAAGAAAAGAACTACCCACCATCTGCTGATGGCAGCAATAAAGGATGTAATTAAATGAAAATGCAGAATCCAGGGCAGAGCTGGGCACTGGCTACAAGCATGACAATGGGAAGCATGATAGAGTGAGAGAGAGGGAAAAGCGGTAAAATACCCCATTTTATCCTCCAGCTTGGTCAGGGTAGGAATATACACAGAATCAGTCAGAGCCCATGGGCTGACAGGAGGCAACTCCTTGAAATACTGCCCTTGATGGCTCAGGCTCATGTGAATGTAACCAAGAGAAGACAGAAGGCAGCTGAAAAGAGCCGCTATTTGAGAGCTGAGAGTCAGTAGCAGAGTCGCCATTGACTTTTATTTTTATTATTTTCTCTTTCATTAAGCTGTCATCAATTTCTCTTTCTCTCCCTTAATATCACTGTAAGAGTTATTTTCCTTAATGTTTGCTACCTCTGCTAATTTAAATATAAAGTACTAGAGCATTTGAAACTAATAAAAAAGAAAACTGTCTACAAAGGTAACTGGAAGCAATTTTACATTCGACTTTAATATCTGATGCTCTGAAATGAAAATAATGACATCCAGGCAGAAGTGCAAGCATTAAGTTGCAATGGTTTCTCGCAGTTGCACACATGTCATGCAGCCTGGCAATGCTGGGGACTAGGAGCCAGGTGGTCGTGTTTCGCCATTTAAAACCTATTGCACAAGAACAACAACAACAAAACCCAACCACTATCCAGCAGAACAGATTCTTCTTTCTTTTTCCTTCTTTTTTTTTTTTTTTAATGTTCTCAATTGCAAGAACAAAGGTAGGAATTTAAGAAGTTCTCCTTTACAAGCTCAGCTTTCACTGTTCCAGCAGCACTAGCTGCTGTACAGGTAACTTTGGGCTTTCTGTACGGAGCAGTGAAATAGACATCGCTGTTTTCATTCTCAGCTGGGAGGAGTATTTTAACTAATGACAATATGGCTGGAGCCCAGAACACATATCAACCCCCTCCTTTGGTGTTATTTATATTTTACATCCAGAATTTGAAAATACCACTGTAGGTGCCCATTCAGTATTGAAGCTTTAACAACTGGGGAGTGGTTTCTTTTTTTAAACCAACAAACTTGGCAGCAAAGAGGTGCTTTAAGAAAAATATAAGCAAATATAGATATTTATATTTCCTTTTTTAGCTGTTACAAAAGGTTATGGAAAAGTTATCCTAATTGCAAAAATCCCTAATCTTCCTTTCTGTTGGAAACACCACCTCTTCCTTTCCCTGAGGGCAATGGACAGCAGTCCTTTTCTTTTTTTTATGTTGCTTTTGAATATATAATGTGTATAAAAGAGGGAGAGAGGCTTGCTTTTAGTAGAACCTTTCCATCCTTTCAAAGCCACTGGCATGCTTGATAAGCATCTGTTGTTCTGTATGGTAACAATTAGAGAATTAGAGTATTTCCAAGCTATGTGAAAAGAGCAATGACATGCATACCTCTTCCACAACAGAGCTGTCTACTGAGCCCCTCCCCTGCCTAGCTACAAATGCAGAATGACAAATAAGAAAAGAAATGATAATATGCCTGGTGGTGTTGACTTAAACAAATCAAGCACATCAGTCAGTTAAAAAACCCAGCTGCCATCATCCATTTTGTCCTCCTTTCCCCAGATTCTGTAATACAAGTTGGAGGCTCCCTTTCTGCCTGGCTGACTTTTTAAAATAGAAGAGAAATGCTAAAGACATATTTAGCTGAATGCTTGGAGCAGTGTGGAGCTCTGCTCGCTGCTGTTGTGGCACAACTCAAAATAAAGCCTGGACTTGCTTGTGACTCCTCCACCCATCGTCTGGTTTATAGCAATGGGGCCAATTGGCAGAAATGGGCCAACTCCAGGAAGTTCTCCAAAGTCTTCTTTTCATAAACACTTAATAGATATTTCTCCTCATCCCAGGTAACACCATCTAGTCTTTGTCCAGAGACATGAAAATTTGGGGTAATTAAAGAGACCCGAAACCCTGGAAGAGTTTCCTGAGCTGCACCACAGTGAAACGAAAACTGAGCATGCATAGCAGCCAGTGGGCAGGATGATAACAGGACACAACAATCAGCTCATTTTCTCTTAAGTTTGAATATAAATGCAATAAAGGAGCTAAAACCCAGTTCTACAAATGTTAACCCGTCCTGACTACTTCCAGAGATGCATGGAAGGGGCACTTGGACTCTTTTTTTTTTCCCCCAACATTTTCAGTGTTACTTCATTCCAGAAAATGTAGAAACAAACAGCAACCAATATTTAATAAAAATCTACAGATTTAATTCTGCAAAAGTGTTGAGAAGCAAACAAACTTGGCCATAAGGCAGTGCTGCGAAGAGCCAGCAGGAGGTGACTATTGGATATCAATAGTTATTGTTGCCGTAATGGAAAATCTGCCCTTTCCACATGTAATAACATCACAGGGCTTTTGGTCAGCACTGGTTTCAAAGTTTTCCACCAAACCTCCATGGCAGCACATCCTCAATCAATTCACTCTGGCTGCAGGCCACCAAGCCCAGCCCTACCCCACAGCTCCCATCCCCACAAAGGATGAAGGTTACCTTTCTCTAGGCAGCTGGTGGTTGGGGTTGTGCCGACATCGGACACTGAGGCCGAAGAGTTTGCGGGCAGTGCGCTGGATCTTCTGGCGTTGGGCTTCCAAGGAGCTCTGCAGCAGTTTGTAGCGGTTCTGCAGGTCCCAGTCGTTCCCCCAGTGCTGGTGGATGCTCGCAATGGTCAGGAAGTGGTTGCTAGGTAGCCTTTTCATGAAGGATTTGAACTCATCTGGAACGCACAGGGAAGTGGAGAAATAGAACTAGAGGATGATCATGAAGTTACAAGGAGTTTCATGTGCAGGACGGAGAAGCAGCAAGGATGTATGGGGTGCTAAGCGCTCTGCTAAGGGGAGCTGATAGTCATTAACCCACTGGGCTGTTGTTTTGCCCACCACTTCCATTACTGCTCTGGTACGGGAAGTGAAATCCATAAAATAATATAGTCAACGTGTACAGGGTGGAGAAAGACAAGACCACGTTCCCTGCAGCATGGGGGTATAGTCTGGGGACTGTGAACAAAAAGCAGGGAGCTGTAATCACCCTCAGCTTGAGTGCTCGTTTCAGTTGTTTTTCAGATGCTCCTAAAATGCCATTTGTTGCTGGAAGTCGAATTGCTTTGGCTGTGTCATTAGGAAAAAAGGGGGGGAAAAGGCTTAAGAAAATCCCCAATGGAATGGTTTGAGTTGTTCTAAAATGTCCCACTCTCTCTCTTTTTTTTTTTTTTTTAAAGACACTTCTTTTTCTTCATTTGGAGTTAAATGAGTCACTTAATGCAACAATGAAAACAAAATGAAATATTTTGCAGGGCTAAAGTCAGAAAAAAATGCATCAGTTTTAGCCAAAGGAAAAAATCTAACCAATCTAAAAATATGCTCTTAAATGTTATTTTGTGATTGTTTTATTTCTGTTTGATTTTGCTTGATAATAATAATAAAAAAAACCTTTATGTTAGATCTGGGTGTTGTTTTTTTTCTCCCATCACAGAACAGAAAATCTGATCCTTTTTGTTTTTATGACCATTCCTGTTTATGATCCTTTTTTTCCAAACCAAGTAGGATAGTTTGCTTAGACTCTGATTGCCAGGCTGGGACATCCTCATGTGGATGAGACAGATGGTTCCAACATCCTCAGTAGAAAATAGCCCATTTTTTGATACTAGTAAACTGTTTGGCACACTGGGACCTTGAGAAACTTGAGGAGTGGGCCAACACAAACCTCATAAAGTGCAATAAAGAAAAGCAGAAAGCTCTGCGCCAGGGCAGAACAGCCCCAACATCAGCACAAGCTTGGAAACAGCCAACAGCAGCTGGAATGGTCCCAGCTTTGTGGTGAGCACCGTGCTGAAGGTGGGTCAACACCATGTTCCCTCTGCCCTTGTGGCAAACTGCATATGGGGCTAAATCCAGTAGATTAGGAGAAGTAAATATTCCCTATTTCTTGGAACTCCTGAGGCTGCACATCCAGTTTTAGGGACACCCAATTAAAAATGAGTGTTGAGAGACTGGGGAGGGCACAGCTGAGAGCTATAGAGGTGGTCGGGGGCCTCAGCACAGGTCCTGCCAGGTCACGTGCAGGGATCTGCACTTCTTTAATCTGGTGAAGCAGAAGCCAAGGGGCAATCTAATGACACTTCTCAGAAAACAGTTACAAAGATGAAGGAGAGAAAGTCTTCTTAATTAGAGATAGATGATATAGCAAGGACACGGTATTGAGAAGTTCAAGCGACTTGTTGGAAAACTTCACTTGGAGGTAATGCAGTGCTGGAATGGGCTGCCCAGAGATGACGAAGAATCTCCTACTTTAGACTGGTGGACAAAACTACAGCTGACAGGATTTATTGCTAGTGATGGTCACTGCTTCTAAGACAAGTTGGATCAAACCCCCATCGCAACCCACAGTGCATTGAGTGAAAAAACACAGCCTCCCTTTCCAGTAAGTTATCATTCTTCCTTTCCTCATTATTTAAAAATTTTATCTTCATCTCACTTTCAGAAGGAAAAGAGGAAAAAAAAATTTAAAAAAAGCAAAAAAAGAAAGTTTGAAAAGGCAGCCATCTAAAAAGAAGAAATAATCCATAGTGTTACATAGAATTATCAAAGCAGATAATTTAGAGCCTATTGTACAAAGCTCGTATATGTGAATTCATAAGACTATATATATTTGCATAACAGTTTTCCTATTATTTAACAATCTGCAATTCATTCTTAACTGCTTAACAAAGGATATCTATGCATTAGTTGGTGGGATCATTATACAGACGGTAAATGGATGATCATGTCTTACTTGTCACACAGTGAAACTGAGCACCTAATAAAAATAATTATCACCATTGCGCTATCATGATCCACGGGATATCTGCTTGTCTTCTTCCCCAAAAGATAACTGGGAGATGCTTTTTTAATCATCCCTCAGCTTTTCACTCCATCACTAATGCTGCTTTCAGTGCCCTTCTCCTCCCCAAAAATGATTCTCTCCCGTGCAGTGGTCCTCTGAAACTATCATCATGTATAATTGCTTCTGTTGACCATGCTGATTACTCCTGGTACCTTTCAGCAGTAAAAGCCTTGCATTTGCTTCCCGCCCCTTATAAATCAATTTCCTCAAAAGCCTGTTTGTGCAAAAGACCAAGCTTTTTTCCCTCCGATGATGAATGTGCTACATTTTTCACAGAGACGGGTAAGGGAGAAATTTCGGTGCAGTGTGCACATTTTGATACTGCAGTGCAACGCTGGGGGAAAAACAAATGAGCAAAGAAATCTGGCAAACTAACAGCTGAACGGTGTTGTTTTTTAAAAAGGGGGAAAAAATAAAGAAAAAGAGAAGACTATCCAGAAAGTATTTCTTCATTATTTATTTATATTCTAGCCATCTCCAGAGGCCCCCCCAGCCAAGCTTGTGCTAAGCCTTGTACTTTTCTGGGAATAGTTCATTCTTAACCCAGAAGATCCCAATTCACTGATCAGGTTGTTTTCCTTTTGTTGCTGCTGTATTTATTGTTGCAGAGGATATTGCTGACGATATGGCTGGGACTACATCTCCCAGAATGCCCCACAGCCCTTTCTGCTGACTCACCCCACCGCTGGGCATGACTCATCACTGCAGGCAGTGCAGGTCCACAGTCCCACCTCTGGAGGAGCTGCTCTCCCAAATCACACCATCCATTTCTTTCCCCCTGCATGATTTTTGCTTTATTTTTATTATTATTATTTTTGAATTGACGTAGGAACCCAACACAGATCAGAAACAGAATATAGATCTTTTAGGCTATCAGCATCTTCCTGCACAAATGTTATTTGCTTTCAGAGCATTCATGTGCTTTTCACCCCTCTTTATTGAGAAAGCCTTCAGATGTCATTAGAGATTTTTCTTCTGCTGTTCATTATAAAGAAAATCCTCCAGTTATTGGGAATTTTTATTAAAACAAAGAAGCCAAACACTAGTACTATAGTCTTTTGTGACAGCAACTTTCATCTCAAAGGATGAGTTCACACATGATGCAACAAAACGATGAACGAGATGCAGCAGCTTTAAACATAGAGATAATCACTCCATCTAGCCCTGAAAAGCCTCCAGTACTGGGCGGAATATGGCCACAGCGCAGCAGAGAATTGCACTGCAATGTGTCACTTTAACATGGCAAATGAAAAACACCCTTTCCTGTTGAAATCTCAAGGCAAGGGAGACTGAATATAATTATCTATTGCAGTCTTTGCTTAGATCAATTGCAACAAGTGCCCAGTGCAATAGTAAAGCAGTCACTGGGGGACTGTAATTCTTTGCTCTCCATAGGGCAAACCGTCAATGTGTCTGGGTTAGAACCCCTGGAAAGGGATTTGATGAGTGGTGGCCAATGTATGGCTCTTGAGCAGCTTGTGGGGAATTCCCATACCAGAGGTAGCAACAAGTAACGTGGGTTTTGTACAGTACTGAGCTAGCAGAGCTCAGTCCATGCTTTACCCTCCTGTTCCCGCTCCATCCATAAATCTGCAGAAATAACCTGAAAACCACCGAGCCCTTCTGCTAGTAGCCTGCTTCTGGAACTGCCTCAGACTGTGGATCTCCATAGTATGTGCCCTGCAGCTGTCATCCAGGTGGTCGTCTATCAACCTTGGGCCACTGGCTGCTGCTTGGACTGCTCTCCCAAACACGAGGCTGTTTCGTCTCGTGTTGCATGAGAAATGTAGCAGCCTTCATTATGGCTTTTGCCAGCATCACAGAATCAAAGAACAGCTTGGGTTGGAAGGGACCTTAAAGATCATCCAGTTCCAACCCGCTCAGCATCGATGCACTGACACTGACAGCACTGGAAGAAAGCAGAGGAGGAAGAGAAATGTTCACACCAACAGACATCAGTGCTGTAGGAGAGAGAAGTCATTTTCCCTTCTCTCTGTCTCAAATGAGGTGTCATCTGGCCTGTGCTCTCCCCGTGAATTGCCTTTCACCAAAGCAGAATAAATCATTCATGCAAATCTGAAAAGCAATTTCTGCATCATTCATATTGTGGAAGTTTCTCTGTAGGGCTATTAAAGAGAGATTCTGAGCTGGTTTGGATTGAAAAATCAGATTTTTAATTTAAAAAAAAAATCTTCTATGGAAAATATCTCTTACACATATCATTATGTGCAGTGTGTGTCTTATATGTACATGTATAGAGAAAAAAACAAGAATCCCTCACAATCAAGATCATACTTTGGGGTTCGAGATCATCTATTTTTTATCCAGACCGTAACACCACACTGGGGAAGAAAATGATTCTCAACTAGTATAGTTTGTTTGAAAGAAATCAATTGGAAAACGTGTTTTCCTTGGTTACCTGAATTCTCCAGATCTTTATAGGCTTCTGTCCAGGTCTTGGCCATGTTGGCTAGAGTGTACTCCATGATCTGGATGTCGGTGATGGGGCAGTTGCACTGTGGGAACTCCTCCGCGCATTGGCAGCCACATTGGCTGTTCCGACAGATGTACTCGCCCTCCCCATTGCACATGATGTAGCTCAAGGCAGACTGGACAAACTTCTCTTGTAGGTACTGGGGGAAGATGATCTGGAGACCTGGAAACGAAGCATGAATGTAGGGGGAAAAAGAAAAAAGAAGAAAAAAAAAAAAAGGTCATTTCAGGTATCTGCTCTGCTTTCAAAACCTGTTTCATTAACAGCTTGGGGAAGTGATACTGATGAATTAAAAGCTGTTGGGAGATTTCTCTCAGCGCTGTCATGGGTAAGGAAGATGGTTAGAAAATATACACCTTGGGTGCAAGCAGTAGATGAGCTGAGATCAGTTCCCCTCTTCCTCCCAGTCCTGGATCCCACTATGGTGTGAAGCAGCTGAGAGCAAAGCCTCCCTTACCCCATGTATTGGTTTTTATGCTTTGCAGCCAAGCACTAGCTCAGAAGTGATGAGCATCATGCTGTTCTGGGAGAGACTGAATAGGTTTGATACCACAGAAACAAAAACTATGCACCAAAAAAAAAAAAAAAAAAAAAAGACGAGAAAGGAAAACAGAAGAATGGAAAATAATATGGGGAGGGATTTCTAAAAGAGCCTTGCAGAGTTAAGTGCCCAGCTCCCACAGCATAAATACAGGAGCCGGGTACCTGACTCTTTCCAGCTCACTCCCTGCTAGGAGGGCTACTCGCCAAATCCTATAAAAGTGCAAATGGATTTAGTGCCAGGGATTTCAGTGGTGCTCGGAAGGTTTACATTAGCTGAGAGATCAATCCCCAGCTCTCTTTCTCTGCAGCGAGTGTTTGTGCATCCATCCATCTGTGCAGGCACACGTGTGGGCGGATGCCTGCTCGGGTACCCGAGGACGTGATGGCAGTTTCCCTGCGTGCCCTGTGTACAACACAAAAGCCTTTGCAGCCTCTCCTCCTCCGGCCGCCATCTCCGGGCTCCCTGCAGACAGCCCTGGGGCTTTTGAGGACTCACAGCTGTTTCCCTGCGCCGGGGCTGTCAGCATCACTCAGGGTGCATGAGGCAGGGAGGGAGGAGGCCCGTGGGCTCATCCCTTGTAAATGGCCCAGGGATGGCAGAGTGGCAGAGAGGAGTTTATGGCTCGAACAGCAGCGCTGAACTCCAGCGCAACGAAGGCGCGCGGGTCAATTACCCATCTGTTTGTGTTTCTGCGGCGCTGAATTACCGTATCCATTGCTGACAGCTCATTGGAGTGGAATGAAAATAAGGCAATAATTCAGAGGGTGAGAGCGTGCAGGAAGGGCAGGAAGGGCCATGCTGACGTCCAGGAGTTCAGGCCCACCTCTGTGCTGGGTCTTGTTCACCTCAGGCCCCTGAGCACCACACAGCCCACTGCCCTCTGGTTTCACACAGATGCCTCAGCCTTGGCAGGGTCCCCCAGGCCCAGGGGCATCAGGGGGCAAGGGGAACCACGGGGACATCCCTTCTCCCCCTGCTGCTCACCATGCCCAGTGGCAGCCCTGTCTGACCCTATTTGCAGCTGGGCTCAGAATGGTGGCAGCTGCCAGGCGGGATGAGCACGGGGCAGAGCTCAGCTTGTGACATGAGGCAGGGCTTCAGGCTGGGCCTTAGGAGGGGAGGGAGCATGCACGAGGCTGAGCAGATTACAGCATCTCTGTAAACATCATAGAGCTAGTCTGAGGAGGATCAGGGCATCAGCAGCATTTTGAGGTTTCTTTGCTCTTTCCTGAGATGTATCCGAATTAAAAACATAGCTTTCCTCCTCCTGACTGCAAGAAGGGCTGACGTTCAGGCTCTTTTAGGGATTTATCTGAAGCAGCCACCGCAGAAGGATGATCTCTTTTCAAACCTTCACACTGACATTAGGGATGGTTCTTTCTGCCAGGCTCCGACACTGAGGAATTGGAAAGAAAGCACTGAGCTGTTGGAGAACTGAGACCTACAGAAGAAGGTTGGAGAGCCTGAAGGCTGCTGCACTCCCTGAGCTCTCACGCTCACCGAAGATAGGGCTGGGCTCCTCGCTGTGCACTGACCCTATTTATGCATGGTCCAAGTCCCGTGAATAAATCTTTCCACTTTCTGCTTCACGGAGGACCAACCTGCCCTGGCCTCAACCTTTGAATATGAAGCTCAAAAGCCCACAGGCTCTTCAGCTCACTGTGTTTTCTGTTTGAATTTTAACTCAGATAAGAGCACCAACATGCTGTCTGGTTCCAGCTACGAACGGCACAGGCTTTGCAGACTTTTTCTGGAGTGGAAAGGTGTGAAAACAAGCCAGTAAAGATGCAGGGAAACCACTTTCTATTGGAAAAGACATATGCAATGTGTCCCAGCATATGCAGAAACACGAATAACTTGTAATCTCCAAAATAAAACTCATGGTCACATCCCACACTGCAAATATTTGATTTTTGTTTGTGAAATCTGTGGTCTCTGAAAAATGTTTCCAAGATAACCTCTTATAAGAAATAATTTCATTTTCCCACGGCAGTGTAAATGACCCTTTGTTTAAGTGACAGTCAGACTCAGCAAAGCACCTGTATAAATACTTAACTTCAATGGGGCAAGGAGTTCTGCTGAAATCCGTGCAGATAATTGTAGCACTTAACAAGAAGCACATAAATACGTGTTTAGGCCTGGAACACATTAACACACAAATCCAACCACCCACTGAATCATGCATGTACCTACTCCAAACTCAGAACTCAAGCAAATGCACGACAGAAATTACATGTTATTTAGAGATCTTCAAGCCAAAAGTTTCCTTGCAGAAAAAAACCTCTGCCAGCCTCAGCCCTAACAAAACAACTCACGGTGCTGTATCATTTCCCTAGGTATTGTCTCTGACTCCTACAAACATGCAAATAAGTTGCTATTTATTCCCTCATTGTCATCTACTGATTAATCCCGTCTCAGCAGCCAAGCAGGGATCTGACCTGGCCTTAAAGACTGGGATCATGAACCAGTATCATGAGGTGAACACCTCAGTGCAAGCCAGGTGCACAAGGAATTGACTCTTTCCTTCATGGCAGCCTTGGGAGCTGACAGTGCAGGAAGAAGGCATGTTTGCTGGTGACTACTGATGGGGAAAATGCCTTGGTTTTGAAGATATCATTGGTCAGAAGGCGGAATTCTGAAGTGTAAAGTTCCTCTTTAAAAATAAAGAGGAGCACAGGTTTGGTATAGGTTTGGCTTTGAAAAGTGCAGGCAGAATATGAAGTGTCTGACAAGGGAACATGTCCTTAATTCACCTAAAAAATCTATTAGAGAGAGATGTTTGGCTTTGGACTGCATACAAAAGGCTTCCTGCATTAAAAGAGGTAAATTTCCCCTGCTCTAAATTAGAGCTATTTGAAACATTTTCCATAGAAGAGTTCTCTGTTGAAAATGCAGTTTCATTGAAGCATTTTGTGAGAACATGTTGACTCAAAAAGCACTTTTGACAGGGAAAGGTCTAAGTGTGTTTTTCATACTTCCCTCATTTTGTTTCAGCTGAAAAGCTGAAATGTTTTCGTTGTCATTACAGCTCTGCCCATCTTGGTGAAGACTTCAATATTAATTGTGACGTGAATTTTAATATTCCATTACCATATTTGATGTAACAAACTACCCAATGTGCAATATCTCCTGATTAATGTTGCAATGTTTAAAACAGCACAGGGATTTTACCTTGTTGAAACAGTGCCATGTTGCAATATAGACAGAGATGGTCAGACTGCCCAAGCAGCCACCTCTGGAATTTTAATTCTGCAGAACTTTTCTGACTGTTGTTTTTTTTGCACTCTGATTTTCCGGTTTCAGCCCATCAATGTTTGGCAGGAAGCAGAAATTCCTGTTTTCCCACTCACTGTTATAGAGGTCCACGTTACTACAGGTGTTGGGCCTCGTGCTATATGTGCTGTCCAGTCCTTCCCTACACCTCCAGGCTGGCTGACCTCCCCAGACCCTGCATGGAGGTCTGGAGTTAGCTCTGGGCTCAGCCACTGAGCCCAAATGGGCACATCTTTGAATACATGACTCTTATGCCTGGGCTGCAACGAGGGACAGAAATCCTCCCTGTCATGAAGATGCTGCTCTTTTATTGAGCCAACCTCAGAGCCAGAGCAAAGGTGGTGACATGGATTTCTGTCAGCAGCTCTTGCTTGGCTGCTAATCAGATCGGAGGAGACTCGGTCATGATCCATTACCCACAGTCCTGTGACTAATTCTTAATGAGGCCTCTCAGAGCAGAGAAAGGATCCTGGGTAATTATCCCAAGAGCCACTCTCCAGATTAGAAAGAAAACACTCAGGTGTAGCTTTAAAGGTCACTTTGTCCTAATAAGAACAGCTTTCGCCTTCCCTCCTTCCATCACTGTCTCCCTTGGATTGGGTCTGACCCCTGGGTTTTGCCGTGTAACTCCATGAAACCCAATTCTTGTTGACCATGAGCTCCTACTGCCACATCCCTCTGTCTGCTGCCTTGCCCGCCTTACCTGCCCTCTCTCTACTAAAATTCCCCACTTCTTTCTTCTCCCTTCCAGCTATCTTGCTTTTTCTCTTTCTTTTAGGATCAGACAGCCAACAGATATCTACTGATTTACTTACTTACCCACTTGTCTGCCCATGAACCAAGCTGTCAGTCTATTTAGCTCTTTACTTACTTAGCTGATGTGTCATTCTTCGGATTTCATTACCAACAATCATCACCACAGTATACAAAAAGCCTCAAATTGCTTATTGTTAATTAGGTTAAGTATCAAAATTCAGTGATTTCAAGAATCACAAGAAAAGTGAAAGCAACCTGCCTATTATTTTTAAGGGCAAATAATAACAACAATAATAATATGACTCAGTAAATTAAACCCAGTTTCTTTGAAACCAAGATTAAAATAGCACTCGCCAAATTACACTTAAAGCTGAGGATGTAATGTAGCCCATTCATCTGAAAAATTAGAGTTTGTGCAAGTACAAAGATTCCAGAAATAAAAACATCTGGGCAAATGAGCAATTAAATCCCACATCTCCTTCGTTTATAAAAAAAAAAAAATAGGAAATAACCTCAGGAAATTATGCACCCATTGAATTTTCTCCTTCTACCGAAGTTGACTATTTGATAATCAGCATGCTTTATTTTATTTATTAATTCAGTTGTGACTTCTGACTGTAGACTTCTGGACTTGTTCCCCAGGTGGGACTGAAGCCATGGCTTCCAGCCTCCAAATAAAACTTCCGTGATTTTTCCCAAAGATTATCTTCGTTAGAAAGTCCCAAAAATTGATCTGCACAGCTCTTCCACAAATAATCAGTTTGAGAGGGTGTATGGGAACTGCTGAATCACAGCCTGAATCTCTGATTGATCACCTGAGGCGAGCAATGCGTCAGCCACAGGAGCACAGGTGAAGGCAATTCTCCTGTGCTGCCAGAAGGGGTGGAGCCTGGCTCCACTTCTGGACCCATTTAAGAGCTGACTACCAATGGGGAAGGATCTCTGCTGGAGATTCCTCCTTTGGAGTTTTACAGGACACAAGAAAGCATTCTATCTATTCTCTTTTGGTATAATAACTGCTTAGCCAAACTCTCTGGTATATTTCATAGTTATAACATCTGTACGTTCATTGATTATACAGAGGGACAAAGTGAGATGTGGGCAGTATGCCCCATCAATATTAATGGAAAAAGTGACATTTATTTGTATTGCTGTATGCGTAATCCACAGAAATCTGTCAAAATTCAGTACAGAAGGGGACACCCAGTTTCTTTGCTCGGGCCCAATCTGCAGTTTCTTCCACCTTTAGCTTAGCCCTGTTGAGCCCTAATCCTGTAGGGAACTTGAACCGCAGAAGGTAATCACAGCAAACAGGGAAAATAAAATAAAAAAAAAGTCAACCCTCTCTCATTGCATCCTCCACTCCGTGCCCTGATTGCCCCTCTCCCTTCTTCCTGTGTCCTACCTTGCAGGTGGAGTTTGCTTTCAGTGCTTTGCAGAAGGACAGAACTCACAGAGTCCAGATTGTCATAGCTGTTACAGCCCAGGGGGCCAGTCCGAGTTTCTGTTACCTGCAGAGGATGTAGAAAAGAGAGAACAGTGTTTGTTGCCTTTGGTTCCAGCACCACGTCTTCTCCAGGCAGGTTCAGACTTTGTGATATGTTGACCCATTGCCACCAGCTGATGCAATCCAAAACTCATCTTATGTAATTGAGAAAATATGCTCCTCACTGGACAGGCATAGCTAATGCTTGAGGCACCCATGTGCTGGAAGGAACAGAGTGACTTGTGCCTGCTTTTCTTATGGAACAGCCTGTTATTCTGGGCTTGGAAATGAGGAGGATCTCCAGTGCAGAACACCAGAAGAGGAATTATTCCCTGGCTTCTCTTAATGGAAAACAAGATGCAAGATGGATTGCCAGCCTGCAATGGCACCTAGTGCTCCCACAGCATATGCACACACCATCCTCGTGCTAAGGATAGAAGGCACAGATGACCTGCAGTGCTGCTTCTGTGGCTGTTGCTGTTGGTTTCCAGCCATGGAGGAGAGCTGCCCTTCCTGAATTCGCAGAGGGTGATTATCTGCTGTCACTGTTTCAATATCTCAATCCGATTTCCCATCCAGGAGGGAACAGACTCAGCCATGAGACACCACAGAACAATAATAAGAGCTGAAACCTTTCAGAAATGGCTAACAATGACAACTCCATCCACATTCACCTTCCCTGGAGTGAACTCCGCAACAATAAAATCCCTCCCCAGTAGAGGATGATTGCTTTCAGAGAAGGCAGCCTTTGTCTGCAGAGCCATTTTCCCTATTTTGTATGCTCTGAGCAGCTCTCCATCCTTCCTGCTCCAACCCCCAAGCTGTCTCTCAGTCCATTTCATTCCAGATGCCTTGGTAATGCCACACTCAGTTTTTCACCTTTTCTTGCAGTGAGTTCATCAGAGAGATGTTTATCAGTCCTCTAGCCACCAGGGGAAAATATTCTTGGGTTGCATGGGTTGTCCACTTCACAGACCTGCCTTTCCCATTTTCATTGCTGTTCTGGGTTATCTGTTCCCTCTCTTCCTTCCAGCAGTCACTGCCACACGTAGTGGAAATCTCCTAGCCTACATAACCATCACACTGAATTCCCACCTCTTTCCAGACATTACTTGTCTCAGCAGTTCAGTTCAGAATTTCTGCTTCTTGCCAAACCCCTGCATTATTGGTTTGGGAATATGTAGCTAGATACAGTACCTTGATTGCTCCGGTAGAGATCTGGATCTCGTGGAGTCTCCTCATGGTGCCATCACGGTCTACAAAGTAGGAGGAAGCGAGCTGGTGCAAAGCTTCCACGCTCTGGGTAGCGTTTCCTGACTTCCTGTCGAGGCGACTTTTGTCCATGTACATGGTCAGGGCCTCCTCTCCTGCAGTGAGAAGAAAAAGAGCTGCCAGCAGGGCCAGAAGGCTGCCCGGTAGGACAGACAACATATTTCAGGAGCTGGTGTAAAAGATCCTTATAGGTCACTTCCAACTTGGGATGTTCTACAATTCTATGATTCTATGATATCCTATTTTATACCTCTAGGAGGAAAATATTGACACAAAACACTTATTAGATGGATCCACCTTTTCTCATCAGTATTAAGGAGCTAGAACCTCCTTCTCTATTCAGCCAGTACATCCACTAGATCATACATCAGCTCTGCTTAGTTCAGTAGATGATACTTTGGATGTTTATCAGTCAGCAGAGCATCAGCACAACTGCTGGAAAGGATTCAGACCACTTGGCCAACGCGAGGAATGCTTTTCTCTATAGGAAGTGCATCTAGAATGATGCATGCCTGGCAGGAGCAGAGGCTATTTATGCAATTCTCTACAGTGGTTTCTAGCAGAAATAAATGATTTAAGTTGCATATAGGTGGGTACAGAAGACAAATTAATACTGAATGTACCCGTTTAGCTTCCAGTGGCCACGAAAAAGGGTAAGGATGGAGGGGGTGTGAAGGGGAGAAATCAGAGGAAAGATAAAATGAGAAAGTTAAGCTAAACCAAGTCTCCTTTGTGCTTTGCTTCCCGTCCTAGTGTCTCTTTTGGTGAATTCAAGTAGGGAGAGATAATGTGTGGGGTAAGGGATAGCAGGTGACTTTGAGCCAGTAAGCACAGGGAGTTTGGTAGCGAGGCAGTTAGATCTGATAGCACCAGGCATCCTGAATGTTATCAGAAACATGAATCTAAAAGATATATGAAAAGGACAGAAAGCCGAGAAGTTATATTTACTTCAAAGTTCAATTTGTGCTACGTGAGCTAAATGAAAATCCATCAGAGGCATAGAATACCATCCTGTCTCCTCAACGTGTGAAGCTCTGATTTTAGTAAATGAAAAGAATAGATGCTGAAGGTAGTAATGTGCCATTTCTACATAGCTTTCTGATGGAGGTTTGATAGATGAGCCACTGATGAATTCATCGCCCCTGGAAATGATGGCCTGGTCAGAAAAAAAAACCCTCATCACTACTTCTTAGGCCAAGAAATATTTTGCTCTTCAGAATTTTTGCAGTATTTTTCGTCTGGTGATTAGCTGAAATAGTTTGATTTGTCCAAATTTTTTTTTTTAATTTCATAAAAAATAAAAAAATTAAAAATTTAAAACGCACACAAAAACAAAATAACAAAAAAAAAACCACAAAACTTTGTAATCCCTCCCCTTTTTCTGGACACGTTCCAGATCTTATCTGGAAACCAAATGTGTGAATTAAAACAGATTCTGGCTGAAAATCAAAATATTTTTATTGGATTTTATTGTTTTTTTTTCCTAGCAATTGATACGTCAAGGATTGAGAATTTGGCTTTGAGATGAAACGTGGAAATTTCTGATGGAACAAAGATACTTTTCATCAAAATAATGGATTGGTTGAAATCTTGTAATTGGCTTCATGAGAACATAGTGGAGAAGTTCAGCATGTAGTGCTCATTCTTTCATACTCTTATATATTATCTTATATATTAACTTGTTGCAGAAACAGCACCATCATTATTGACTCCCAGGAAAATATTTTTCCTGGAAAATGACCAGGCTCTGATCTCCCTTTTCACTTTAAACATCATTACGCATTGAACAACGCATGGAGCCCTTGGCAGGGATCAAGGCTCTGCCGCATCCACACGAACAGCACAAAGTTCCTGTCCTGGAGGACTTAAATCCAAGTATCCAATGAGACACAACTGGCGCATATAGCAAACACTCAGGAAAGCACAGAGCAATGAGATGACAGCGATTAGTGTGAGAAGCAGCAGTCACAGAGTGCCAGGTGCCTTCTTGCTGTCAGTGCACTTCCAGGTCTCATTGTCAAGGTGGATTTTCACAGGGGGATTGCAGGAAGGTCAGGCTTTGTGAATTTTCATCAGGCAGCTTGTTTGCCACTGGAAGGACAGACTCGTGGGAGAGGTTTGGGGGAGCAAAGTGGTGTGCGTTGGGGCAGAAGTATTTCTCAGCTATTTAGCTGTGTGGGGATGCTGCAGACATAAATAGGGCTTCACCTCCATTGCACATGGCTGCAAATGGAAAGGGAAGACCTGGTGTAATGCTCCTCAGCTGCAGCTCTCTGAGGAACCTGCAGGATTCAAGCAGCACTAACACTGGGGTTTCACAAGGAAGTGGAAAAAGCAGCTGTCTGTGGAAAAAAACCCTGATTCCTCCTTCTGATAGCTGAAGCACAACACTCAGGAGCTTTTCAGTGCAGGCTCTGAGATGTATTAGCTAGAGGAACGCTGAGACTGGAGATGCATTGGAAAGAGAGCAGCCTGGCTTGAACTACTCAGACAGTGACACCAAGTTCAGAGTCAGAATCAGCCTTGGACCCCCCAGACAACAACGAGCCACTGCGACAGCTCCTAGACATCAGAAAGAAGAACCCAATGCTTTGAGGTGCTGTAGATGAAAGGTTTTACTGCAAAAGTCATCACTTTTGCTCCCTGAGGTGTCTGAGTTCCTCTACTGGGAGGAAGAAAGAAGGAGAGGAAAGTAAAGCCCTTGAGATTTGATGCTTTTCCTGAAGGACAAATTCAGTCCCTAGGAGGGAAGGGTGCTGAGCAGAGATAACACAGCTGGAAACCCATTCTGTGCACATGTGTGCAGACCAGGAAAGGCACAGCATCCCCACGGAGAGTGCGCGTGAACAAGCAACCCTTAGATCAAGAGAGGTTAATAGACTTTTGCTGCATTATTAAGTCTTAATTTCTCGTTTATTAAGCGGATGCTATGTTCAAAGTTGTCTTTCCTTCAGGGCTTTCCCTGCAAATTGGCTCTCAGCTCTGTGCGCTCCATCCTGGAGCATGGATGCCCTCGAAACGACCCTTCACCAGTTCCTTTGTCAGAACTAAACTAGGGTACAGCTGGATTTTAGACTCTACAAGGATCTGGATGCTCCATGAAAGGCATGGAGCCTGTTTCTTATGTGGCCAGGTGTGAAACTATCTGTGTTTGCCCTGGGCTGGCCTGATCCATCACCCAGCCTCCTGGGGTCTGTGCAACAGATAGCACTGAAAAGCAAAAAAATTTCTTCTGCATTTGTCATTCATTTGCAACGTAAGACATCAGGCCCCTGTAATCCAAAGCAGGAGTCCTGGAACTTATTTATTTTAGGAGATCTCCTGGAGGTCTTAGGAGGGTCGGTGCATGTCTGGTTTTATGCCCCAGTGGCCTTGTTTAGCCCACAGACTGTGCTAAGAGTGTGCCCTCCGTGCATAATGTGTGCTCAGCCTCATCTGCATCTTCTGTAGGGCTGCCACTGCCAAGATAAATTCTTTTTTCCCCCCAGTGTTGCTCACCGTGCTCTGGGCTGATAGAGCAGTTTGCTCTCCTCTCCAATACCAGTTCTTGTTGCAAGTCTCTGCATATTTAAAACTGTTGTGTTGTAAAATCAGAAGAAACAAGCCACTGTGAATAATTCACAACCTCACCCAGGCAAAATTAAAAATATATTTCAACATCAAAGGTCTTTCTTATTTCAGATTTCCAGGGATGTGAACAGGGAGACAAGGAAAAAGAGGCATGTCAATGGAAAGGAAAGTGAGCCCCAGTAGAAAACTCCCAACACCTTCCTAGTTTCCTACTTGGCTGATTTGGGCTCTATAAAATACAGTCCTAAAAACTATTTCCTCAATGAAGAGGTTTTTATCCTTACAGCAAGTTCTTCAGTGCCTGATGCAGGCACAGCTCATGCACTTCAGTGCATGGAGACCTTTTCCCTCACATTTCTTGCTGATGGAGCAGCCAGTTTGAGTGGCTGGGCAGGAGGAGCAGCCTGAGGTTCTTTGAAGGATGCACGCTGCACGAGAGGTCATTTGCCTTCAGTGGAACTGCGCCAATTTACTTACCACCTCATTTGTGCATGAATCACATGCACACATCTAATCTCATCTACATCTCATCTGAGCATCTGCAGAAAGCTTTGGGAATAGGCAGACAGCCAGAAATTCCTCAAAGTTCACTACAAACTTCACAGTGTGGCAAGGGTGGAGGTCAAGAGCAACAGCAACAAACTCTACTGAAATTCAAACCATTTACCAGTGCAGCAACCTTATGGATACATGTTCTCAAAGGAAAGGAATTTAAATGCATGCCCTAAAAAAGTAAAGAACGATAAAAATGATATAATGAAAAAAGAAATCATCATGAATTTTTAAGAGGAGATGCTGATTTTCACCCCTCGTATTCTCAGTACTCAAAATGTTAATGCAGCACCAACAGCAGTGCACTCACGTGGGTTAATGGCCCTACAGTTCTCTGTCTTCTGTCACCACTAGACAAATTCTGCCTGCACATACAAACCTCTCTGCAGTCCTTGTCTGTCCACTTTAAATTTTAGTCAGTCGTGATTTTCCAGCAGTCGGGTCCACGTTGCTGCTTTCCCTTCTGCATTCAGCCCAGACCTCCCTGGCCACCTCTTCCCCTGCTGCACCCACTCCTTCTCCTGAATCTCATTACAATTCTTCCAGTTCCAGCAAGAACCAAGCATGTCTTCCCTCTGCATTTTGTTTCACACCGCAAAAATAGGAATCAGCCCACTCTATTGCCAAATTAAGGACAGGGGCAGAGGAGCGGCAGACAGGCTCCTGCTAAATGAAGCACGTTTATCTTGCTGCACACCAGCACGCACTCTGTTGTCAGAGGAGCACAGGTGCACACGTATCACAGATGCTGAACGTGCACGTGTTGCTCTGTGAATTCATTTGCAAAGGCTATTTGTACTCCGGGGATTTTTAATCCTAATGATGAGACAGTCTTGGGTTGGGGGCCTCCACGTGGCGTGGCCAATGGCCTTTGGGTGTTGCCCAAAGCCTTTCCAACCCATACTGACACCGCTGCAAGAGAAGAGCTCGGGATGTCCACCTACCTCCCAGGGTGGCAGAGATGAGGATGTGGGTGCCGTACTTTTTGATGATGGTATCGATGAACTGCTGCGTGGTGGGTCTCCGGCCCAGGAGGCGGATGCTCCTCTGGAACTCAGGCATCAGGGGCAGTGGGTTGTGGAGCAGGTCCCTTCGTTCAATGGCTGTGTTCCTCACCTTCCAACGGGCAAACTCCCTACATGACAAGACAGGAACACAAGAGGAGTGAGGCGCTGAGTCCGGAGGGGCAAGGAGAGCCCCTGAGGGTAGGGAAGGAGGATGGTGAAGGAGATGATGATCCCACTGGACAACCCCGCATGGATACACACACGGGGCTACAGGGCTAGACAGAAAGGGAGGAGAGGAGAAGAGAATTGAGACGTTACTGCAGGGCAACAACACACTTCAGGGATTGGGGTCTGGGATGGTGAGGAGATGGCCTTAGAATCTCCAGAGGTGTCTTGCAGAGTGCTGCATTTCCCTACAAAGAAAGCAGGCTGGCCCTTATACCCCCACATACTTAGGGGTATTACATCTCTCCCTAAAGCAGCACATTCTGCTCTCTGCCACCAAATCATAGAATCATGGAATGGCTTAGCTTAAAAATCATCCAGTTCCAACCTCTGTTGAGAGTTGATTGCCCCCCACCTGTGGGACCTTATCTGTGGACATGGGATGGGGCACCCACTGCTCTGGGCAGCAGTGCCAGCACCTCACCACCTCTGAGTAAAAAAGAACAGAACATTCGATATACTTGAGACCTAGATTGGTCCAACCATTTCTATATCCTCCTGTCCTCGCATTCACAAGCCATCCTGGTATTTAGAGCTACTGCTCTTGCAAAACAGACAGAAGGAAATGCATTGTCTCCAAACATCTCTCAGTACCAAAAAGTACAGCAAAAGAAAAGCTTGAAAAACAGCACATTTGCTAAACCATCTAAAAGGATCAATTCATATGTAAGCAGAAGGACTGGATGAAAATAAAGTTTTGTTCATTTTTCTTTTTTTTTTTTTTTTTTAAGTATAAATTGATTTTCAAATCCCTTCTTTTAAACCGATAGCAACTGGTAAAAAAAAAAAAAAAAAGTTAAATGTTTGCAGGAGCAGCTCTTCATTGCAAGTGTCCATTTTGAAACAACACAAAGGCAAGTGTCTTGAGAAAACCTTACACACCTGTGAACTAAAAACCAGGCCTCTGAAATACATCACCAGCTGAGCACCTGGAAGATGAGAAACCTGATAATGCACTTCGAAAAATATTGAGCAAGGCCTTCTTAAAAAGGAAAGAATATTATTTATAACCACTCTCCTACAATGCACCTGCGCTATCTTAACCCATCTCCCAGATAATCAAGTCACAGACTTCTCTGCCCCTTATCATTCAATTATTCCTGTAAATGGGATTTAAGACAAAGTTGCATTTAAATAATAGGAATGACAATACGTGGCACTGGCATAGCACTTTCTATCATTGTTTGTCAACCAGCACCTGCAGTCCCAATCTGCAGGAGGAGAACCTGACATGCAGGCAGATCTGCAGGTACCATCAGTGAGCTGCAAAGCCAGCAGAGCTTTCTGCTCAGAGGTTGACTCTACACCCAGTCAATTTTATGTGTATTAGGTTCTTTCACTTAACGCAATTATGCATGTATTTATTTTGATTGCATACCATCACAACACCCCAGGCTGCCTAAGAGCAGTTGCATTCATTAAAATAGCAAAGTGGCAGCTTTTTACTTCAAAATGTCTCCTTCCATCTGAGCTAATGCCCCCTCTGTAGCTCCTAGGCTTTCACAAGCCAAGTAAATAGCCCAAAGCAGAACACCCCTCTGATAACATTCTAGAAGTCAGTAATGTCAAAACTTGAAATCTGCAGAAGCATAGGTTTTTCCCAGAAAAATATCTGCCAAAAGTTCAAAAAAAGAGGGGAAAAAAAGGAAGGGACAGAGCAAACCAGGATGTAGCATCATGAGTGGAGAAAACACAGAACATTGGCTCAAAAATTTCTATGGAAACAAGTATGTTAGCCATGAAGTTATTGCATGGAGCAGTTTCTTCTGCTTTATAAAAAACTCCAATACGTAGGTTCTGTGGAAGAGGCACATCTGGGGGTCCCACAATTGCTTTCAATGATAAGTAGAACCTTAGAAGTGAAGAGAGCTTCTGTCCAACCATGCAGGGTGAGGGTGCTCTCATCATTCATGATCCCAAACCTGGCTCTAGAAAGAAACCCCCTCTGCACAAAATAGGAATGGTCCTTTCAGGACAGAGCAGTTCTCACTGACAGAGCAGTTACACTGCATGGGAAGATGCAGATCTGGATGCTAAAAGACAGGCAAAGTTTTATAATAAATAGAAATTCCCATGTTCCTACCATAAAGACTGTAAGTGTAGGAAAAATGCCATCTGTGCTTCCTCTCCAAAGAGACCGTTTTTAGATCCTGTAAAATCAAACGTACTTTTGCTCTCAGATTGCTGCTTCCTGGAAGTGCTATCAGTAAAGTCAGGAGATACTTAAACCCTCCATGGCCAGGATGCTTTCAGAAAGGGAAGTGGGAATACTTCATGTTGCCAGAAAAAAATGACAGATATTTTGCTTTTCACACTGTCAAAATATCTATTCCAAAGCAAAAAAAAACCAACACAGCTGAAGCATTCAGCTGTTCAAGTAGGGTCTTATTGATATATCAACACCCAAACCCAAGGAAAGCCCCCAAGGAAAGCCCCCAAGGAGCCCAAGGAAAGTGGATGGAGATGGACTGGGCAAACAGCTACAGTTAAGACTGTGTCATTGAACGCAGTAGGCAGTACAGATGGAAGAAGACAGAAGAAAAAGACAATTTGGTAAGCAGTGTTTTCAGGGGAAAAGAAGGGTTCTTTTGTTGTTTTTTCTTTTTTAAATATCAGATCCCACATAATCTCTTGACAGCAGTAGCATGAGGCAAAAGGGGGAGAAATTGCTGCCATATCACCAACCTTGCCTGCTACCAAGGGACAATTCCAACCCCCGTTCACAGAGTAGAGAATTCCTGAGCAGCATCCACATCCACACTAAAGCATCATACCGAAGGGGAGGTTTTCTACCTCATTCTTTCCCATGCAGATCTTCCCCAGCCCTCCCTGCTCTCAGGGCATAACATGGAGGTGAAAGCCCAGTTGTGTTATCCTCTCCAGTTGCCTAGATGTGTGGCTTTCATAGCTGATGAGAAAAGCTGAGCAAATATGTTATGATGAATAATTTATGCAACTAACTTAGATGTTTATCTTCAGCACATGGAATATCTAACAGCCAGCTGCAATTCCCTCTAATTTATGCATTATTTGGATTTACTTAGTGACATTCTTTAAGCTGCATTTTTTTAGGCTATAGCATAGCATTTGTTTGTATTCTCTCCTTGTGCATTGTTGCTTGGCTGGGACTGGTCAGTCAAATGATGCAGTACTGTCTAGCTTCCTTATTAGTGACCACAAATACCTTTCCATATTTTAAACTTGGCTTCCTCAGTACCAGAGTATTTTATACACAAAGCAATACTCTGAATACTAGCAATCTTCCATATAAACCATAGAACTCCATGCTGTAGGATGCACTTGAGGACAAGATTATGGTACAAGTTTGGAAAACAGACTTGACATTAATGAATATGGCCGGTGAAATGAGTGAGAATTATTGAAGTGACTGAAAAAAAAGGTTTACAGGGAGCGGTTTAATTCCAGCCTTAGGGGATAATCCAACCAGTAACTCCTGAAATCTGTGAAGAAACACCTCCAAGAACAGGTTTTCTATTAACTTTCAATGTCAGACTTAATTGCATTTGCTACAGAAGCAGCTGCTGTTGGCCAAAGCAGAATCCATGCTACCCGGCCAGGCAAACAAGCTCTCATCTGATTGTCACCACGGAATCCTTGAGTCTGTGAATCCTTGGAGGACTCATCAAGGCCTCAGCTTTATGGATGCTGTGTGCAGAGAGGCACTGAAATTCTTCCTTCCAGAAATCCTTCTCAGATGCCATTTCACTGATCATTGCTTCTCAGCAGCACCAGTGCCACTGCCCAGAAAGCACAGGTGAGGTTCCACGGGTCTCGAGGCACTTTATGAAAGAGAAAAATCGTTTTGTTGTTTGCTAGCTTTCCAGGTGAAGAAGTTGCAAAGAGTTGGCCAGTATTGTGATGGTACCTCCTGATGATGGTTGGGATTAATACAGTCTTGTGACCCTCGGGGGAAATCCCTGGGCAGGACCTGAACTTCTGCCAGTGGGGAAGCTTTTATGGGCTTCAGAAAGGAGATAAACCTCTTAACAAGGAGGAGAAAGGATCTGTATCCCTGATGTAGAGACGGGATAAGGAGGAACTATGAGCTAACGTCTGAGTAGTGGAGGAGAGGCACTTGTTTATGCTCTAACGTCTCGCCAGTGTAGACAGCCCTTGCTAATGGGGAGAGTACGCAGGAAAATGCCTGCCAGGTCAGTGGAGAGCAGTCTGCTCTCTTAATATCTGGTGAAAGCACTGAAGAGTCTACTCTTAATGGCTGGAAGGGGTAGTGTCTCACTGCTAGTACCTAAAGGAGGGGAGAGGAAAGCGAGGGATGAAGTACATGCAGTAGCCTCAAGGAGGCAGATGTGCATATTTCAGCCCTTTCCCTTTGTCAAGTAAGAGGATGCATTTGAGTTTTATATGGCTGTATCTGGGAAAATACGTCTCCCCCCCCTCCCAGAGTCTGTGTTAATGAGCTAGCCATCAAGGCCATGCATGTCAGACAGACAGAGTCACTGGAGACGCCCCGGCGCTCATTAGTGCTATGACCCCTCCAGGGAAACACACACAAAAAAGGGGGGAAAATGCTGAAGAGACAAGTCAAAAGCCTAGAATGGGAACATCACCCAGACCCCCACTGCAGCAGGAGAATCCAAGGGCAGGAACAGGGAGAGAAGTCTGAAAAAGAGAGGCCGTCGGAGCAAATTAAATTCCCCATCTTCAAACAGCCAAGGCGACCAAAGGACGTAAGTGAAGAAATAAGTTCAGTACAGACCTCAGGGATCGTTGCTTGAAACCAAAAAGAAATTAAATGCATTAAACAATGAACGAGACAGAGTCTGTTCAGAAAAAAAAAAAAGATAGAAAAAAAAAAACAAAAACAGAATAGAGAGAAACTGAACAAAGTCCATAACTATCACAATATCATCCCAATGCCTTC